ATTAATATTCTACCAAGTGCTCGGTAAAGTTGGTTTGGAGTTCTGCTATGACTCCATCTCAAGCATAAGTCAGCTTAATTGACAGTCAATAGCTTAATTGATGGTCGATAGCTTCACAAACGGTCGATAGCTTTACTGATGTCCGATAGAGTTTGTCTTCCAGTCCATAATTTGACTTATAGTCGATAAAGTTTGCCTTGCAATCGATAGATTCTGACTTATAGTCCATAATTTGACTTCCAGTCAATAGATAGCCTGACTAACAGTTGATAGAGTCTGTCTTCTACTCCATAATCTGACTTCTAGTTGATAGTTTGACTGACAATCGATAACGTGACTTATAATGTGACTTTCGGTTGATAACTTAACGCAAAATCAATAAGCTTGACTCACAGTTGATGATCCTTGACGCACAATCGATAGCTTGACCCACGATCGACACGCTTGACGCTTAATTCGTAATCCTTGATGTGCAGTCTATAATCGTAATTGACGCCCGATAAGTTTGATTGATGCCTAATAAGTTCGACTGAAGTCCGATAAGTCTAACTAATGCCCGATATGTCTGACTGACACTCGATAAGTCTAATTGATGCTCGATAAGTCTGATTGACGCTCCATAAGCCTTACTTACGCTTGATGAGCTTGACAGATGCTCCATAAGCCTTACTTACGCTTGATGAGTCTGACTGACGCTCCATAAGTCTTTCTTACGCTTGATAGATTGCTTGACTTACAGTTGATAAATCTTTAATATCTCAATACTCGAAAAAATTCTGCAGCACCTCCCCTAGTCCAAGATAGTACCAGAAAAGTACTAGAACCTTCTTAATACAAGTCGGACTCCTGTAGGAATCAAAGCATGTTTTGGAGGTTAAATCTGGAAACCGAAACATTCCTATAACCAATCGGCTTCCCGTAGGAATCAGAGCATGTATTCGGAGGTTAAATAAAGTGACAGTGCAAATCTGGAATCTGGCCTTATGCAATCTTGGTCCTTATTGTTAGTGAGTTATCAATAGACATCTCCAGAAAAGAACTTTCGTTTAACACTTCAAAATTGTTAGTTAATTGGGGTTTCACTGCGGTTTACGAAGCATCATGATGGATACAAACTCCCAAATTGCTGGGATAAAAAACTGGGGATCTGGAGGCATGAAAGGAGCTCGCTTCTTTCGAAGTATTAAACACCATTGTCTCGATAAAATTCCGAGGTGCAAATGGGTCCCGGCAAGTACACTCCCAGGATACAGTCGGATTGGAATACTAATCCCGAATCCTTGAGTTGCACACTTATGAGACTCGTACAAAACCATAGTCTGCAAATTTGATATGTCTTTCCAATTGGTATAAGATCACAAACATCTATTGGAAATCCTCTCTCTTACTACAATATAAATCATCCAATCGGTATACTACAATAAAACATCGATTATGAACATCATCTATCTCACTAAAAAATGTCTTCCAATCGGTAGAATAAGCTTCTATTGGATATGACAAATAACAACTCTAAACATAATTTCTCTGGATATATGAAAACATAGTATCCCAAAATGCTAGAAATTCACTACCATTAAAAGGGGCAGCTTGTACCTGTTATGCTCAAACAAGCCACAAATACGTTCATACCATACTCATAAAGTACCTGGACACGGGACCTTTTGGAAGAATGGGCATAACAATAAGTAGAGAGAGAGAGAGAGAGAGAGGGAGAGCATAACAAGCCACAATATGTTCCTTATAAAGTACCTAGACATGGACCTTTTGGAGGAATGGGCATAACAATAAGTTAATCTAGAGAGAGAGAGATGGTATGTTCGATTAAGAGAGAGAGAGACTGTTCTCTTCAAAAGACCAACGTACCTCCAAAGGATGGAGAAAGGAAGAAACTAGAGCGAGAGGCAAGGATGCCATAAATACCAAAAGGTTATGTGTGAGGTGTCAAGAATACAAAGAAAAGGTGGTCCAAAAGATGCCACTTGAGTGACAAAATACATGATAGACACCTCGTGCTTAAGTGTGAAACGTGATGTGTGCATGAAAAAGTGTTCCGAACACATGGTGGTTCAGAATGGCCACAAGAAGCAAAATGGACCAGCAGTAAAATAGGTTGTTTTGAAACACTAATTTTAGTAAAAAGCTAACAAAATCAACTTTGTAGACATCCTATCCCCAATACTTTTTGTATCACACCCTAGACCCAAATATTTTTTTTTTTGTATTTACCCCCAGTCAAAAAATCGACAAAATTGGCATTAAAATGCCCTTACCCTCGTTCTCTCTACCTGCCCTCTCTCTTTCTTTACATGGCTGGAAATTTGACATATGTCAGCTTTTTTAATTCTCTCTCCTCTTTCTCTATCGGCCCTCCCTCTCTCACTACCCGCCATCTCTCTCCTCTCTCTCTAAAGCACGTCCCCTCTTACTTTCTCTAATCCATATGGGTCTCCTACGTTATGTCCTGCTCTACACTTATTATTTTCCTCCATAAGAAAACCCAAACTCTTTCTCTCTCTCATTCCATTAGCCTCCTGCGGCGCCCAAATGCCACTTCCTTTCTGGGTATGCCTCCCCTTTTTTAACTCCCCATTCCAACAACTAGGGTTTCTTTTTCTATACATTTTCTCTTTTGGGTTTCTCTCTCTTCAACTTTCCTCTCTCTGTCTAGGGTTTCTTTCTCACTACATCCTTTCTCCCCATCAACCCCAATGCAAATGCAGCTCCATTGCTCCCCCTTTCGCCCTCTATCTCTTCCTCAGGGCAGCACTTCTTCCATTTGAGGTTTCAGGTCTCTCTTGTTTCTCTCTCTGCCCTATTGGGAATGCGGCTCCCTTGCTTTTTCTCTCTCTAATTTCTCCACTGTTTACCCAACCCTCATCCCATGACTCTGTCCAGTCCTTACTGGAATTCAAGAAAGGGATTCATGGTGACCATTGGGGCCATATCAACACATGGACCACTGACTTTCTTCGCTCTGAAGGTTGGATTGATAATTGGCATGGAATCGAATGCGCAGATGGTTACGTGACTTCGATCACTTTAGATGGGCTCGAATTGGTTGGGCGTGTAGAGAGAGAGTGCGAGAGAGGGCGGGTAGAGAGAGAGAAGGAAAGTGGGTTTCAGTACATAGACAAAGTTTGGGCACACAGAGAGAGAGAGAGAGCGAAATGGGTTTTTTCGGTAGAGAGAGAGAAAGTTCGGGCATGGAGGGAGAGAGGAGATGCCCTAATAGCACGTGACTACAAAACATAGTGGAAGAGAGAGAAAAAGGGCATTTTAGTCTCAATTTTGTTGGCTTTTTGACTCAGGGGGTAAATACATAAATAAAACAGTATTGGGGGTCTAAGGGTGTGATACTAAAAGTACTGGGGGGGTAGGATTTCTACAAAGTTGATTTTTGTTTTGGGGGGGAGGGGGTAACTATAATTTTCTCTTTTTTGTCCCTTGTTTTTTACCTTTTTTTTTTTTTGTGTTTTCCTTCTTTTTTTATAGATCTCTTTTTTGATTTTTCCCCTCTTTGTTCTTCTTCGTGCCTTTTTATGGATTGAGAGAGAACTAGGTGAAGAGGGCGAAGCTTTCCCCTACTTGAGGAAGAAATGGAAAAAGAGAGACGCAGGAGTGCACAACAAGGTGGGAGTGGCTGAGAGACCGGGAAGGATAGTAAGCTAAGAAGAAAGGGGAGAAAAAGACTGAGGAAAAGATAGGCGCAAGAGAAAAGTAGTCCGGAAAAGGACTTGGATATATTGGACCATTTGAGGCAATGGAATAGGAGAGAGATATGCAATCCAAGCAAGAGATGCTAGGACAGGCAGGAAAAAGAAAATAGGACTGGTGGCATAAAGATAAGAAGGGCATGGAGGGGAAGGGAATAGAGAATGAGGGCCAGTGGCTTCAAGGGGGGGGAGAGAGGTCAACCCTGACATTGGTGTTTCAAACGCGAGATGTTTCTATATCATGTAGTGGGGTGGATGAGACACTAAGGACTTAGAGTAGTGACATTTAAAAGGAGGGTAAGTGGAAGTGTGTTGGGTTTTTAAGTTTCAGATGTGCATGGTGTCAAAGACCACGTAAACGTGCACATGTGGTTCAGTGGATGTCATAAGCCAAAAGCCAGCTCGCGAGACAGCTTGGCTTAACTCATAAAGAGCCAAGCTTGAGCAATGTTTTTAGATTTCTGCAAGCCAAGACAAGCTGAGGTCACTAGCTCATATTTTAAACAAATCAAACTCAAACTGAGACATGTCAGCCTCTTCTGGACTTGAGCTTGTTTATGCATGGGTGCGGTTTGTATAGAGCCGAGGCTCTAAACAATCAAAGTAAAGCGCACCTTCAAATAGTGTTGAGAAATGTGGTTTCAATACCAGAAATCTTTGTGATAGCCTTAAAATATATTTTCATTTCTAATTATAAAATTTAAAGCTTCAAAAATAGTGTAGATGGAGCAGATATATGAAAACTTGAAAATCTTGAAAATTGACGGTCCAAAAATGCATTACATGATGCGCTATTTCCAAAACTTGAAATCCATTTTTTTCAAATGTCCATGCATCTTGAGGTCAAGATGATCAATTTAAGGATATTTGGGCATCAAAAGAACCTCTTCTAGTGAAATTTTTGTGGTGCGTCCTAATTTGATTGTTTAGAGCCTCATTTATATAAACTTTTTCCTTAATACATTATGCATAACATAACGAAAATGTGTCCAGTATATATTATATTATATTGATCATATCTAAACTATCAAGACAGACATGCATGCATATGCACATATTGAAAGAAAGAAATAGAAGCACACAGACATGCGTGCATATACACATACTGAAAGAAAGAGATAGAATAACACGATATCTGTATGTATTTGTGTGTGTGTGTGCACGCATGTGTGCATCAAGTTTCTTTGCGCTTATGTCTCTCGGCTTTATATTCTATGCAATATATCCCACGGTAGATGCTCGTCAATAAAGCAATTTGATTGTGAACCTTGTTGCATGATACAGTTGGACTTCACTTTGGCGAATGGATTAGAAGCTGTGAGGATACTTTTGCTTGAAGGATTTGATAAAAGTGCAACATTTGTCAATCAATCCAAATTACGAAGTTAAATCTCACATACCTGTTGAGATCATCATTGTGATATGATCGTATTATTTGTGATGAGGTTATCATAGCTATTGTTGAGGCAGATTATTGAGGTAATCGTTCCTTGAAGCGAAGCAGTCCTGCCTTGGGAGGTGCATCTTTGAGTCTGGTGCACTGAAGATAGTCAAAAACCTAAGACTACCTTGGACATGGGAACAGCATGAAGCCCTATGCTTAAAATACGAATATGTCTTTGATAGGTCAATACATTGTTTGGTTTTTTTTTGTTTTTATGTTTAACCTCTTTGTTTTTTCACTTCAATTTATTTGTGGAACTTCTTTAGACCTCAAAATGGGCTATTGGTTTACATTTTTTGCAAGAGAAGCATTTCAGTTCGCTTTTTGGCTTGTCTGTCTTCTTTTGGCTGAACAAATTGTTAAGTTGTTTCATGTTTTTACAAGCTTTGGAGTTTTTGTTTTACAATTCTAGATATTTACAGGTCGTGTTATATTTGATCAATAAATTGTGGAACAGTCCTGTTATATTTGATCAATAAATCTTGGAAACCCTCTCTTTGGCTCTATCCTCGCAATTGATCCCCAAACTGAATATGAGATATTGATCGATTTTTCAAATTGTTATACAATTCATACTGCATTCTATAGTCATATGACACCCTTTTATTGTGTACAGTATGTTTGTATAACTCGTGGTCTGTTGCCAGTCTTGGCCCTAAGCCCGGACCTAGTCGTTTTAGAGCGTGCCTAAGCCCATCCTAGCCTGGCCAGGACTGTGCCAAGGAAGTCGTGTCCCAAGCATGGCCCTGGCTCTGTCAGGGCCCGGTGAGGCCTCATAGGCCTTTAGAAGAAAAAGAAAAAAAATAATGGGGGAAAAAGAGGAGCTAGCGGGGTGTCCCTGGCCCAGCCCAAACCCTCGGGCTGTGGTGGTCCGGCTCTTGGGCACATTTTGTCCCTAGTTTTTTAGGGCCGGGCTGGGCTGCCTGTTTCATTCCTAGCCCGATTTTGAGGGAAGCAACTATATAACATGTCTATTTACAAAAATGTCCATTGCTCCTAAGCACTCTAATCTTAAAAATGCATCAAATTTCATAATTGAAATCTCGTTCTTTTTGTTTTGACTACTGTTCATTAATTTCTAAAGTAGAGCATGAAGTTTACACCAAAAATTGTTATATAATGAGTCTTTTAAATGGGGAAATAAATATACATTATGATCGTTGGAGATTACTGTCTCGCAAAATTCTCTTCTCCTACGAGATAAAGGGACTTCCCTTTACAAGAATGAGGGATATCATTCTCTGCACTCTCCCTCATTAACTCACGCTTTTCTCATCCTCTCTACTCTCACTCGATCTCTGTCTACTCTTTTTCTGCCATCCTTTCTTTCTACTCTATTTTCCTCATCCTTCTTTACTCTTTACTCTCCCGATCATTCTCTCTCTCCTTTCTTTGTGCAAACCTAATGGTAATACGATAATATGGTGAAAAAAATCTAAAATATTATATTATGAAATTTAATTTCAAAGCCCTCCAAGTGGCAAAGTGCAAAGGTTAGTAAGGAGGAATACTCAAAATAATTTTTATCTAGGTACTCAAGTTTTGAAAATGTTTTTATAAAAATTTACTTTTACTTTTATGTTTTTAATTTTTTTTTTTGCTTTTCGTTTTTTGTATGACTGTATGGTGAAGTAGTTCTTATTATCCTCATTAATATAGAGCCTCTCTCTTTCTGGCCAAACATTATGGATTTGTGGTTTTCTTACGCATAATTTTTATGAGGTATGTGTTATGTGTTGGGGTGCATTATGGCAATTCTTGAAGTAATTGAGACGCCTCTAAAATGAGAATCCAGTATTTTTTACTTATTTTTTGAAGTCCTCGTATAGTTTGCATGTTCAGGGCGTCAAATTTTTGAGACATTTTGAGAGAGAGAGTATTTTTTATTTATTTTCTGGAGTTCTCATATAGTTTGCCTGTTCACGGTGCCCCTAAAATGAGAATCCAATATTTTTGACTTATTTTTGGAAGTTCTCGTATAGTTTGCCTCTTCACGGTGTCAAATTTTGGAGACAGTTTTGAGAGAGAGAGAGAGAGGGAGTTATTTTTTATTTATTTTATAAAGTTCTCACATAGTTTGCCTGTTCACAGTGTCAAATTTTGGAGATAGTTTTGAGAGCGAGAGGGATGATGCCTCAACATAACGTCCTACTGGCTATTCCTACCGTTAAAATATAAATATAGAAAAAGAGGATAAAGAAAACAAGATAGCTATCAAGTACAAGTTTGAAAAAGTACACTTGAATGGAAATAATGAGAGAGAGGGAGACTCTTTGGCTCCTTTTTTTTTTCTGCAGATCTTTGTTTAAAAATAAATAAAAACCCGCAAAATTAGTTCATGTCGAGAACCCAGTTTGGAAAAGTACGATTGAATGGCTAAATGGGGGTTGATGGGTGAGACAATGAGAGAGTTTTAACTTTGATAGCCATCATCTAAGTACAAAATTTGGATAAGTATGTCTGAACGGCTAAAGGAAGGAGAGAGAGAGAGACCCTTTATATTTTGTCTGCATACCAATCTTTACAAAATCAGTTATTGAAACGCAAAAAAAAAATAGTAGAGAGAGGGTGAGCTAGTAGGGAAAGATATGAAGTTGGGGTTGTATGTATACAACCCTATGACTCTAGTTTTCATAAAGTTGCTTTGAAACAGTCAAAGTAGGGTGCACCTCCACATTCTGTCATGATGTAATTTTGACGTCAACAAATATCTTAGAATGGCTTAAGAATCTATTTTTATTTTTAATTATGAAATTTTAAATGCTAAAAATGGTTCAAATCAAATAAATCTATAAACATATGAAAATCTTAAAAATGGATAGTTCAAATAATATGTTACATGGTGCCCTATTTTTGAAACTTGAAATTTTTTTTTTCCATCCATATACATCTTGATGTCGAAATGATCAATTAGAAACTTTTCCAACATCAAATAGCCTTTTTCGATGGATTTTCGAGGTGCAGCTTAATTTTATAGTTCAAGATTACAACCTTCTATAAGCCTTTTCCTATATAACCTTTTACTATTGAAGTAAGATGTGCCTCAAAAATCCTCTAGGTGTCAGTGTTTTGTTTTTGGAAAACCCTCCAATTGATCGTCTCGACCAAGAAATGTAAACATATAAAGAAAAATAATCATTTCAATTTTTAAAAATAGTGCATTTTGTGACAAATTATCTAGACTGTTTATTTCAAGATTTTTAAGTGTTTATAGATTTTCTCGATCTATACTATTTTTTAAATTTCATTGCTAATAATGAAAATAAAGTTTTGAGCCATCATAAAGTTTCCGACACAGGAACTAAATCTAGAGGTAAAATTTCTAGGGAAGAGAAAGAAGAAAGGTGAAAATAATAGGAGGATTCCAAAAAAGTTCTGAAAAGTATTCAAATTGTACCAATGTTTAAGGGGATTTTAGAAACTACAATGTTTATCTAAAAAGTTTTTTTTTCCTAATCTAACTAAATTAGTGAGTTCACCTATCAGAGAGAGAGAGAGAGAATGGGTGAGGATGTGAAGGGGTACGGAGACAGAGAAAGAGATAGAGAGAGGTGTATACCTATCTTTAGGGGAAGAGAGAAGAAAATTGAAAAGTAATAGTATGATTTAGAAAAAATTTAAAAATATTCAAATCTAACTAAATTAGTAAATTCACAAATCCAAGAGATGTGAAGAGAGAAAGAGAGGATGAGAGGGGCGGTATGAAGAGAGAGAGGGAGGGAGGGAGGGAAGGGGACTATGTAGAGAGAGGGAGGGAGGGGGAATATGTAGAGAGAGGGAAAGAGATGGGGCATGGAGAGAGAGGTGCGAACCCATCTCTTGAGGAAGATAGAGAAAAAAGTTAAAAATTTAGGAGTATTAAAAAATTATCTTAAAAAACATTCAAATGGTACCTATCTGTTGGAGTATTTTAGAAATTACATTGTTTATCTTAAAAAAACTTTCTTTTTCCTGATTTAAGTATAATCTATTCTATATCTATAAAGAGGCAGAAACTCTTCAAACATCATCATTATCATCGTCATAAAATTTTCTCAATTAATTGAGATCGACATACAAATCTCGATCTATCATTCTGCTTTATTAAAGGTTATACCCTCAATGAGGCTATAAGTCGCCATATCTTTCCGAACTACTTTCAACCACGTCCTACTCTTTCCCCTTTTAAGTCATTCCACTTGAACTAACTCGTACCTCTTAACAATTGTTGTACTTGGTCGGTGCCATATATGACCAGCCTACCTAAATCTACTCTCTATCATCTTATCGCCTATTGGTGCCACACCTAAATTCTCCAGAATGGACTCATTTTGAATTCTATCCCTTCTTGTCTTGCTACTCATCCATCTCCAGTACACTTATTCAATGGGTATATTATTTTTTGTCCACCTAATATTCAACCGCATATAACAAAATTGGTCTCATAACTGTCTTATAGAACTTACCCTTCAGTTTCATTGGTGTGCGGCGATCACAGAAAATTCCAGTTGTATATATCCACTTCACCTACCCAGCTCTAATTCTGTGTGTAACATATTCAACCGCTCCATTTTCCTAGACTATCAACTCAATATATCGAACGAGAAACTCTTAAAAAATGATATAGAGGGACTATAATGGCCACGCTTTCGAAACACAAAGTTTATATAAGTCGTAATTAAATTTTCAAAGAGGAAAAGTTGTTGGAGTTTTGATAATGAAGAGTTAAATACGAAAGAGCATTTGATTTCCAAGAGCATTTTGAACGTGCTACGGTTACACGTATATATGATGTGATATTGTTCTAAGCCATTCCTTTTTTCTAACCAGCTTTATTGTAATTGCTTTAATTTATTACTATGAATTGTTTGTATTGACTTCTTGAGGAATATCTGATCACATTATTTTTATTTTCTTTGTGAATGTCCATTGAAATGTAGAGCCTCATGTTTGGTTTTATTGAATGAAAATAGGAAATTTTGGTTGGATACATTGAAATTTTATATTTGAATTTTTTTTTCTTTTATTTTGGATTAGCCAGTGGGGAGAGGGGCCCTTCACTTGGTAGGAACTGAGCCAAAGACATAGCGTTGTAAATCGTCAAACGCTAACCAATTAAGCCTAGGTTCTTTTCCTATTTTGTATTTGGAACTAATGGTATTTGGATATGAAAGATATTGACATTGGATCATGGTGCAATTTTTATTTGATTTCAAAGAAATGGGAGATAATGAATTTGATTAATGTATCATAATTCCCCATGGAAAAATGCGTCATGATTGTTGGTGCTGGGTCATGTCTCTTAATGTCAGTTTTTCTGTATACAAGAAGTCAGTAAATTTTTATGGGAAA